GCCAGACTTCCTTGCTGTAGGATATATGGATGAAATAATTTAATTTCTTGCACAGAAGTTTTTTCACTCTTGTTATTTGTTGCACAGCATTAGTTTTGCATTAGTTTTGCATGTTAGACAAATATTGATAGTTCTTGTGTACATTTTTAAGGCCTACCTCTTTCCAGAGTGACAGCAAGAAAGCTTTTGCATATTGGTATTCTCCAGATAATAACTATGTCGTTTGTAAAGCTTTTACAGCCATCTGTGCATCTCAGTAGAGAATTATATGGACCTGAGAAAACTAATTATAATTCTCAATTAATCATGGCTCTTTCTGGATTAAAGAAGTATTCTTGCAGGTTGTAGACTAATGCCAACATCTAGCCACCGATGTACAAATCATGGCTGTTGTGGCAGCAAATGACAAGTGTGTCATTATGTTGGCTTACATACTCAAATAGATGGCTTACATACTTGTGTCAGCTATTACAATGCAATTAGATAATTGTGTCATTTGCATGATGACCTCATGATTCTATATTGTCATTTTGATCTTATCATGACCCTCCTATGGATGCTGCAGCATAAAAGCCAGAATGGACTTCTTTTGAAGTACAACTTTGGAGAGTTAAGATGACTACATGCTGTGTGCGGCTGCTCCTCCGGATCCTTGGGAGGACAAAAAACAGCCCTCCCAGAAAAATCAGAAGTCATGAAACGGGCCTGTTTCCAACTTCTGGTGGGCCTCCAGAGCATGGGGGAAGCTGTTTTTTCCCTCCCAGGGGCCTGGGGGAGGCCTCCAGACTGTTGGGAAGGTGAAAACCCCCTGGGCTTTGGAGGCCCACTGGAAGCCGGAAACAGGAAGTTCTGGTAGGCCACATCCACCATGGCCATGCCCACCCAGCAACTGGGCAGTAAACCAGTTGCTGGGATTTTTTAATCCCACCCCTGCTACAGTTCCTGACAAGAAACAAGAGGTTATCTGATTTGAACACATTAAACTACTTTATGCAATGTGGCCAACGGATCAGAAATTTGTACAGCTCATAGAATTATTTTTAAAACAGCAGCTTAATGCTAATGTGATCTTGGCTTATTGTCTCAAGTTGCTGATTCTCTTCCCCCACCCACCCTATTTTGGGGAGAGGCACTGAAACTGGGACAGGAGAAGCACTGGAGATAATTATACAGTGATGTGAGAAATAAAAAGGAGAGAAGGTGAGAGGTGAAGTTCTGGACCTTTATTTGATGAGTTAATGTGCAATCATCCTGCAATGCTAAGCTATTGCCAAAATGAGCTGTACAACAATTCACTTCACTCTTGTGAATTAGAGTCCATAACTAGGAAAGATTGTATATGGTAAGAAGTAAGGCTGCTTCTAAACATTTTAATTGTGTAATCCTCTGCCTCAAATATAGAACAGAGCCCCAGGTGATGTCTTCTTGGTTGTTCTTCCACAGATTTGTTTTCATTGGTGTCCCTTAATAATTGAGGAGAACTCATGTTAAAGATTCTTATATTGACTGACAAAGATTTTCAGCCTACTACACCGCTGAGCGTTAAGCTGTGGATTGTTGGTTCATTTCTCTGGATATTGCTGGCTTCTGGAATGTGCTGTTATGTTATTGTTTCCTGAAACAACAAAGGGGGGGGGATTTGAACTTTACAGGTATTGGATCATATTTTAATCAGCAATCTTAGCCTTTTTAATTTTCATCATTTTCTGCAACCATCTAAGGATCATTATATTTTATATCTTTTTATAATGTAAATATGATATTAAAGTGTTTCTTTTCTTTGGTATTAGTTACTTCTCTTCATTAAAACAGCATGTGTCCATGCTAGTGATATGTCTTGATGAAGTCCTGATGAAGTATGGAACAGCTGAACTACTATACAAGATTGAGAGTTATGAAATAATGGTCTTTCCAGTTTCAGAATCTAAGTTTAATATAGTTGGTCGTAAACCACTGCATTAATTCCAATATAGTGTTCATGGTTAATAAACATTAGGTTTTACCCTTTAAGGTTTTCCATTGCCAGCCTTCTGTTCAATTTTAATATATATGCAGGCTACTTTTCCATATTTTTATTCTTATTTGGTTTATATACTCAGGTTAGGATTTGGTGTGTGTGTGTGTGTTTGTATACACACACACACACATATACTCAGTATTGTCTCGATGTATTAAGCCATTAAAAAACAAATAAGAGGGGAGTGGCATGATTTGAGTTAATTCAACTTGCTCACACATTAACTATTGTATAAACTGTTTTTTAATCTCCTCATGTCATACTTCATAGAGGGTTGCTTCACTTGTATTACCAGGAAACTTAATATTGTAGCCTTGTCTGTAAAAGCATTTTTTTTGCTAAAAATTTCCAGAACAGAACTAAAACTTCTTTTTTTTTCTAAAATTACTTTTGGTATCAAAGTAAAATAGTGTAAATCTTTAAATGAAAGCTACCTGAATTGCAAAAATCTATATGACCATTAAATGGTAGGAAAGGGTATCAAGATTTTTGCAGCCCATATATGATAGCCCTACTTTAAATCCATCTGTTATGGTGTTCTAACTGCCACTATCCAGTACAAGCAGCTAGTCAGGAATAACTCACAGGTAGTTCTTCTCTATTTCTTCCTTAAGAAGAGAATGCCAAAAAGGAAACTGCGTTTATTTTCTATGTGCACACCTTATTCCTAGGAAAGGAAGTACCAACTGCCAATAAACACAGAGTGAATTTCTTTGGCTTTTTAAGTGGTGAGCAATAGCAATAGCATTTACACTTATATACTACTTCACAGTGCTTTACAGCCCTCTCAAAGCAATTTACAAATATCAGCATATTGCCCCAACAATCATGGTCCTCCTCATTATACCGACTTCGGAAGGATGGAAGGCTGAGTCAGCCTTAAGCTGGTGAGAATTGAACTGCTGGCAGTTGGCAAAATTAGCCTGCTATTCTGCATTCTAACCACTGCACCATATCACAGCTCTAATTTTGTTTGTGAGAATCTAATTTTGTAGAGATTGGGGGTATTTGGACAGTATATATTCTTTGATTACGTCCATAAAAAAGAAATTGCTACAATGTATATTGTGTGTATCCCACGCTTTAAGGTTTAAGCTACATTTATAACTACTCCCCCTCCAACACCCTTTATTTTCACAATGACCCAGTGCGGCAGTCAGGACTGTCTCAGGGTCATCCAGTGTTTTTGCATGGCCAAGAAGGAATTTGAATATAGGCCTCAGTATATATAATTACTACATTCAGTCTATTATTCAATTTGGCTTACACTTGTCTATCACCTATACTGCTTATCAAATCTTGACTGCTGCTGATTCTGACATTCTTGATCATCATATGAGCCTCCAAGAAAAAAAATAATTTTATCAGTTTAACATTTTAAGTTATAAGATAAAATGCAAAAGTATTCCTATTTATTTTTGTAATTTTATCAATAGTATTGGTGATGGTCTAAGTAATTGCAGACTTTATTCCTAGTCATAGACATTCAGCCTTTGTAGAAACTGTTCCTATTAGTTAATTAAACTTTGTTAATTAAGCTGGTCCTTATTATAAACATGATTGCAAGTCTCCTGTCCTGTGTTCATTTTCAGATGTAATGTGCTACTGAGATTATAGGCAGTAAGCCCAATGGAGTGGCTGAGATGAATTGCACACAAAAGTGTTCTTTACTCAAAGTCATTTCATATCAAAGGAGAATATTGAGATCAAGAGAAGTTGGTATCCTTCAGTGGCTTCAACTTGGTCTATAGGAGGAAATATATTTTTCAGGAATAATATTTTAGAACTATGGTTTATTATGTCCTCATATATGGTAAAACTGTGCTCTTCTTTTCTTTCTTAGCTGGCAAGCCAAGTATTATCAAACTAAAGGTCTTTGGATGTAATTAATATAGAGATAAAATTATGAAATATAAATAAATAAATTTGTTTAAAATTTATAGTCTTTCTGACTTGGATCTCTTTTATAAGTATCATAGAATAGGCAGCTTGCATTTTAATATGTAAGGTGTTGTAGTGCTGTAATGTCCAAACTGAGAAAGAAGATAAATTTCGATGTTAGGATACATGTTTGCTAAATCTCAGAATGGTACTTTCAATTGTTACATTATCATGGGTGTCTAGATTTCTCATTATTATGTGTTGTCAACTTCAAGATCTATAGCATGTAAGCTGTTGCTTATCAGCATATTAAAAAGGGCTTAATAAAAGAAATTGGTAGCCTGGTATACTTCTTGCCTCAATACACTATAGTGGAAAAAATAGTAAATTTAATCTTTCATAATTATTTTCTTGTACAGCCTCTTGGTTTTGCTAAAAATAACAACCTGCCAATTTTTTAATAACTTGATGTAGTTTTCAGATCTTGTTTTGTTTTTACGATGCAGCATGTTATTTCTTCTGGGGAAAGTAATAACAGCTTAGTACTGCATAATCAGAACCAATACATAATGCAGAAATATGAACAGTTGTGCATTTGATTGCCTATATTTCATTGTGAAGTCACTTCCAGGCAACTGGATTCAGAAATTATACAATAGGCAGGTGATAGGTAAATGGGCTTGAGATTTCTGTAAATCAACAATGGAATGAGATGCCTGAGATTTGAATTCTTGCCTAAATCTTAGACTATGGAAACTGATGTGACTCTCTAAATTCAACTGTTTACTGAAAGCTAAATCTTAAAAGTTGGTAAAGGAAAGAGAGCTTATCGTTGTATTGAGCTTTCTTTTCCTCCATAGTCAATAAGAGTGTCATTTTCAAATAGAAACTTCCAAAGAGGCAGGAGGAAATATGAAATTGAAGTTAGTCGATATTTATTTTGTTTTTGAAAAGCCAGTTTTCCACACTTTCTAAAGCAAAAGCAAACCTTGATGAAAAGCCTAGCAAACTGTGTTAAATTAGCAAAGAAGAGATATATTGAAAAGCGTGTCTTATTTCTCAGAGATTAATTGTACCGTTCTCTTTTTCTTCTCACTTACAGAAATTGACAGTAATCAGAATTATGTGACAACAGAGCCTCAGCTGATCTTCTATCCCAGCGTTACCTATGCAATCATTGGCAGCTCTGCTATTTTTGTGTTGGTGGTGGCCCTCCTGGCCCTAATTTTGCACCATCAGCGAAAACGCAACAACCTCATGACACTTCCTGTACATCGACTGCAGCATCCTGTCCTCTTGTCTCGTCTCGTCGTCCTTGATCATCCTCATCAGTGCAATGTCACTTATAATGTTAACAATGGGATCCAGTATATGTCTACCCAGGGATATCATAGACCTCCAGATTTAGATTCACCACCATCTTATTCAGAAGCTGTGCTAGATCAAAGGTACATTGCAGTAGTGTAACGGTGGGGTTTCTCCTGTGCTTTAGACCCTTTGTTCTGGGTTTGTTTGTTTTTTGTATACCCAATGCTTCTCTTTCATGATAGCTTCCTTTAACAGCTGCACCACCCTTGCTTCATTAGCATTGATTTTACTGGGTTGATCCCTCGTAAACTGCTTCAATATTTATACCCAAGTTTCCTGCCTGACTATTTACTCTCATTAAGGCAAGTCATAATTGCTGCAGTTTGAACTTCACCACTGAGCGTAATTTTCTCCTCAGTACAGGAATCCACTTTAAAGATTTCTGCTGACAGAAATCTATCTATCCTCCGATTTCAGAAATGATTCTTTCAGATTTGGAGTATGTCATGGAAATAATGTGGAAACCATCTTTTGGTCACACTTACAATTTAGTTCATCGGAAGATCAGTGTAGAGGCCATTTTCTTTTTAATGCCCCTTTTTGTACCCTACTCGAGATGCTTTTGAGCCAACATGATGCCATTTTCATCCCACGAAAAGATCACTTTTCACTTGTATTTGCTGCTTTGTGTTTTTTTTAAAGGCAGATATGTACTGTATTTCCAGGATAGTGAGGAACAGAGCCCTAAAAAAATCATACAGAATAGAATGTTGGGCTAGTATTGTCACTGTTATCTGAAACTGGAGGGAGAAAACATATACACACCTATTTCCAAACTTTATCTTCCAATGTGACATATAGTGAGCATTTATGCAATTCATTTATGCAATTGTTTGGGAGCTGCTTAATCACTATAAATAATGTAAAGCAAATTTAATTTTTAAAAAGCTTGTCTTCGAGTAAATGGACAAATTGCATTTCAGTATTAATAGCGTCACTTGCACAGGATTCTTACAAACTGATCACAATTTCCACTAAAGAGACAATCAGTTGTATTTCTTAATAACAATATATTGGGGATAATATATTGAGAGTAAGATCTGGATCCGTTGAGGAAAATTAAAAATCCATTTATAGTGTCTCTGTTCCCCCTAAAGGGGGAGGGGTTAATGCGAAACCATGGCAACTAATAATTTATTACTAAGTGATGAATATATACATTATACAGAATTTAATTTAACTCCCCAAGCTTTTAAGATGTAGCACTTAAAAATCAATGAGAAGTCCCCTCCAACAACAAATACCAATTCAATATATTGTCTGCAGTCAGTTATGGGAACTAAATTGTAGGGTTTTTTCCTGTTTTTAACATGTGAAGCCAGTCCATAAATTTCTTAGTTTCCTGCTAAGATTCTTACTGGTTTCAGTGGTGATAATGGGGATGGGTGGCTGCAGCTTGTGTAATGCTGATTGACTTCTAATATGTCTTCAATTTGATCCCACCATCTATTGCAAAAAACATAAATCATTTTATGTTTTCATGTGGGAAGAAGCCATTCTAAGTATATTTTGGGAGACATAATACTTTTAAACAGAATTGTTCACTTCCTTATTGTTTCCAATGCAAAGTAAGGTCAACTTACCCTACAGTAACACATAACTATAAACAATTATAGCATGTTTATGAGATGCTAGAATATATCTTAAAAAGCCTGCGTCTTGGTGGATTCCACCATCACCTATGTGCAATTTCCCTGAGCTGACAGCTATAGTTGACCTTGGAATAGTATATCAGGGACAACACAACATAAAGTAAAATTCCTAAAGTTTAACCATCTTATTATTTTTCTCTTCCAGTAACATCAAAAATTGCAGTTTAGTAATACCGAGGCCAAGCAGTACTGGCTACTAGCTGAATGGATGTTTCTGGCTTCTGAACAAAAGTTACTTGTCAAAAGTCAACCCATCAAGTCCATTCAGTTGTGACTTGGCCATTCAAGTAGTGTACATTTTCATATGCATCTTTATTGTAATATATTGTAGTAATTTGAACTGGGACATTTTCCCAGGATCAAGGAATAGAACACCCTCCCCTGATCAGTTGGAAGCTGCAAGTAATGTTACTGGAAGACAGTGGTATTACAGGATAAACTGAGAGTGTGTCCCCTGGATTTCCAAAGGTTTGAGGGGTAAAATAATCTCATTTTCATTCTGGCCTTCTGGATTACACAAATGGGATGATGGGGAATGTAAGTGAAATGAGTGGTCCATTTAGATAGATAGATAGATAGATAGATAGATAGATAGATAGATAGATAGATAGATAGAT